GCCCACTCCTCTGCTACAGGACCATTCTCCTCCCCTCAGGCCCCCATGGCCACAGGAATTCTGCAGCAATGGGAGCCACATGAGCCATCCCATCTGGCTTTACAGCCGACATCAGCAGCACTGTAACAGCACTTGCAGCTACTTCTGTGGGACATCTTTTGTTTCTGTGAAGCTGACAGCCTCCCAACTGCAGCTCCTCTCTGCTTAACAGAGCACTGGTCAGGCATGCCAGGATGATACTGTCAGTTCCAGCATTTCATCTGATGGCATCACTCTGCTACCATGTGCAAAACTTCACACAGCCTTTTATCCCGTGTCTCTGCTTTTACACACACATTTACAGCTGTTAAAATTGCCAGCATTCTTCACCAAAAGGACATTAACTCCTATGAATTTATCACTTTTACAGAAAGCTTTCTGGATAAAGAGAATTAAAACTGTTTTTCAAAATGATGCACATCCTTGTAATATGTAGTAAACATCGCACTAAAAGGGGCAAAAAAAAGAAAAAAGAAAAAAAAGAGCATTCCATGCAGCCAACAGCTGTCAAGCATCAAAGATTTCATTTCAACATTATGTCTAAACCCATGATGCTTTAAGGTTCATCAAAACACGAGTACATCTCCAAGGCAGATGTCTTGACTCCTGAGGCTGTTGAATGGTTGGATTATAGAAAAGCTACCAAAAAAATAAAAAAGTACCCATGCATCTAAAATTTTTGAGAAAGAAAACGTATCTCTAAAAGCACAGCAATAATAATTACCCTTACTTTTGTCTACAACTCTATTTTATCATCTGCATTTACTATATCTAGCACACTGTTTCTCAGCTGCTGAGGCTTTTGTGACTTCCACTTGCAATTGTTACTGCTTTCTACTGGCATTTTTCCTTACTTTTTTTACGTAGGTCTTATAGATTTTTATATATGTTACAATACACATTGATAAACCCTGAAATAACATACCACACTAAAAAAAACTTAAAATTTAAAAAAGATTATTTAAACAGAAAACCGATTTGGTTTAATCTAACTTTGGTCCAAGATAACGTTAGCAAGCATTCTGGTTCACAGAATCTGAATATACCTGTTACTCTAAAGCTAAACAATGGCAAAACCAATGTTCTCCAGAATACACAGAGATTTGTTCCCGTGCAGGGCTGGGAGTTGGACTTCAAATATTCTCCTGCATTCTCTCTAACTGAGGATATTCTATGATCTATGATCTCAAATAGCTGAACTCCTCAATTCCAGTGGCATTAACTTGGTCTAACAGACACTTAAAATGCTTTAAAAAGCCAGCAGCAGAAGTGTTAAAGATAGAAAAGATGTATTAATTGCAGGAAGATATATAAAACCAGATCAGACTGGATTTACCAAACTACAATTACCAAATTGTAAACCAAATTACATCAAAATTTCTTTTTTAAATCAAGGTTCGAGGGGAAATAGCCATTGACATGAAGAACTATAGTAGCAGCAGCAATCTAGACTCTCAGAAAGCCTTTGACAATTTTTCACATGATGGAATAATGCAGATGGTATTGAATAGCTATCCTAAGGAAAATTTTAAGACTGGATAAAGAAAATCATTAGACTAACTAATAGACAGAAAAAAGAGAATGAGAATTTAAAGCATCCACTCATCATCATATGGCAAGAATTGTTTTGCATAGGATTTAGATCAGAGTTATTCTTCAGAGTTTGATTAACAATTTAGAGAAAGAAAATATTAAACTCATCTATAGTCATGGGCATCAGAGATTAGTAAATGGTCAAAATTAGAAAAAATATTTCTATTTTGATAAAAATATAAACTCAAGTTGATATGGAAATTTTAACTTCCACATGTAGAATGATGCAAGCAGAAATCGTAACTCCTTAAATATAGGTAAAATAAGAGGAAAAGTGATAAAGGAGAACGTGATCTAAATAGGTATGATCACAGTTTTTATTTCATCTAACACGAAGCATAAATTTAAATGTATTTGCTTTTCTCTGAAAGGTTCATTTGTAAGAGAGAAATCCTCATGGTCATCTAGAGGAGTTTCATCACCAATTTCAACTGGATTTTACCAGAAGTGTCTGCCATTGTGGGTTCTATGCAAATAAAGGAAATGTCATATGGGTAAGTGATAAAGTTTGATGCAACAGGAAAGTTTTCCATGTGAGAGAAGACTGGAGCAAGTGCAGATAGAGTAGGTAAATTTACCATGATGAATTTACTTGACTCATTTAATAATTTACTTTCTGTAAATTAACCACAGTCAGCTGCATCAGCTGTAAATGGGCCTATCTGAAATTATTTAACAAATGGTTCTTATAAATGCAGGAAACACTCTAGGAAAGCTCACTTTCCTCACATGCATCTGGTTCACACCCACCTCCTCCCTCTGTGCAGACATCAATGGCTATCACCTTCTGGATTGGTTGTAGAAGGTCAATAGATAATTTAGATTAATTTCATCGGTTTTTTTAATGAAGATGCTGGCTCCTTGACTCTCAAAGATGAAAATACTCAACAGATCATTGAATTATAACTGGGGCTTTTAACTGTATTGGTTGTGCTGCTGAAAGCAATATCCCTATTTACTGGAGATAGGGAGCTTGGAGAGGGATTGTCTTTGAAATCTATCACTTTGATGTATATCCTCACAGAGAAAAAAAATTCTACAAAAAGACAACAGATTTCCTCAGAAGATGCAGTTCACTTATACCATGCAGTCCCCAGGTAACAGTCACTCACTCTGCACACCAAGGTAGACCATTGTGTTTGAACAAGGTCTTCAGCTTGTAAAATCTATCAGATTTAGGTATGGAACCAAGACATCATTGCCTCAACTTCCACCACACCTAGAGTAGGAATAGAAGTTTTAAGAGTTTACTGAGACACCACCACTCACTATTCAGCATGTCTGTGTAAAACTGCTACTAGCTTCAGGGCATTGCCTTTGTCTTTTGCTTCTTTACTCTCATGAATCAGCTCTTTTGGTTTCCTCTTGTCTGTCTGTCTTATATTCTGCATTTCTTTATCTATAAGAACTTTCTTTCACATGTACCTTCATTCTCCTTACACACACTCACTTGTCTCATTCGAGATACATACTAGCTAAAAGTTTAGGTGGAACTAAAAATTCTCGGAATTTTGGAGTCCACACTACAATAAAACAGAAAGCAGGGCAGAAATCACTGCTTTGGTGATATTCAAACTACACATTAATATTTTTCCAGAAGACCTGGGTAATTTTGTGATGTCCTAGAGGCTACAAAATATATTAATCAGAACATAAGTCTGAATACCACCTTCTGTGCAGATAGAGGTCTTGGTGACCCTGGTCCTGATTCATCCCCCAGTAGCCTCTCATCACAGGAGCCTTCTGCTATCACAGAGAGTCACAGACATACATTAGACATGCTGGGTGCTTTTCTGTGTAATCCTGATCCACAGGTGTCTAATTGCAGACGGAAGAGTAAAGAGAATATTCTTATCAGTGATACCTCAGTCTAGAATTAGCTGTGATGAACTCAAGTTACAACATTTTCCCTAAAACACCCACTAGCAAGCAATGTAACTTCAGGAAAAGCTTCATGTTAACATTATTGACTTCCTTAGAGCCTGTTTATGCTTCAACTGGGGTGAAAAGAGAATATAAAATTTCAGTGTCTATTACAAACAACTAGGAATAACCAAGAGTATAAGGAGATACAACTGGAATAAATATATAGGCACACACAATTATTCAGAAAGAATTCTGAAATGGCTGTTCTTGACTAGCCATTTCAATGTGCAGTCAATATATATTGACTGTATACAATGTTCTCAGTATATAGTCAAGCCCTCAGCCAAGATGTTTTCCTAGGTCAGGGTGACTTAGAGATGATTTGTAACAAAGAAATCCTGTATTGCCAACTATCAGCCTTGTTCTGCTGACTCACCCTCTACAGGTGCTCATCTGTCATAAGGAGTTACCTACGCTTTCATCTGGCATGCTTTGGCAAAATTTATAAAGTTGTATGAAATAAATAGTGGTCATATCAATTTCATAAAAGTCTAGGTTAATTCAGAACAAGAAAAAGTATAAATGAGCAACTTTAATTACTTGAGACAATCTCAATCTATCCTTCATGGGATATTCTCCCTTCAACAGAAAGAGCAGTTGCTCCATATGTAATTCAATCTTTATTTGACAACCCACTTCAAAACTCATACGGACAGGACAAGAACGAGAAAGAGCATGTGATCATAGGAGGAGGTTCCTTGACACTTCCAAAATCTACACAGGACCTCTGAAAAAAAGGCAAAAATTGAAGTATTGTTACAGATGATCTATCAATAGATTATGAACAAAGAAAGTCAGACAAATCCTGATTTTTTAAAAATTTGTAAGGAAAGGAAAAGATAGCATTGTGAACAGGGGAATTAATTTCCAGATAGAAGTGGAAAAAATAAGCATTATTAGTATATGTGAGCACAATCAAAATGGATAACATGAGCAGTGTTCAGTACATTTGAGGAGTATCATCACTTCAGCATGCATAAAAACAATTTTCCCTTTTTAGGACTCACTAGGGATTTTGGATTAGTCATAAGTTTCTCCTGCCATAGCAGCTATGACCTACTCTGGTGTTCTTTCATTCTTCACTACAACGTGTAACTGTGACATTCACCCTTCTTTCAGCAGGGGTTTGTACAAGATGAATGCCAGAGGTCCCTTCTAACCTAAATTCTTCCGTAATTCTAGAATGGTTTTAAGACTCAAATTTTCACCAGTTTATTAGGTTGGGAAGTTTATCTTGCTGCCCCAGAAACTAAACACTCCTTGGACCAAGTTCTCTGCTGGGTTACTGTAATACACTGTCCCCAGGAATCCAATGTCCTTGATAAAGGACAGTCACACACCCATTGCCCAGAAGCAACAACGAGACCCATGGCTGTGACAGGAAAAACCCTTGGAACACGTGGAGTCCAATACAGCCTGGAACTTCTTACTTACCTAAAAAATTTTGTGAAAATTATGTTTCTCAGTCAATGCCAGGCCATCCTTCATGTGAGGGTGCACTATTCTGTTTTGGTGCTAAAAAGGCTTCCACATCATGTGTTCTTCTCAAGGAAAAATGGTTATGGAGAGTTGCTGCTATATGAAAACAGTCTATGCTCATTGTGAAAGGTTAACCACAATAAAACTGTACACAGGTTTAATTATTTGGCTCTTTTTTACTTTTAATATCCAACACTATGCAAGATATAGTTATATATAATATGCTGACAGAAATTAATCTCTTTTAATCTCTTTTTCAAGAAAAGAATAAAAGATAAAAATATAAAGAGTATTTTGAAAAATATGTACATTTTCTTTTCAGTGCTAATCCCATAATAGTAGCTCTTACAATGTGTTCCTAGAATCGTTTGGGTTAAGAAAGGTTTCTGTCCATAGGATTTCAAGGACTACCTAAATCCAAGCCTCCTGCAGCATAATTTCACTAATCCTACATCATCCCTGACAGATAAGTATCTTGTTGAGTCTTGCATATTCCAGTGATACTGGTTACAAAACAGCCCTTGGCAGCCCTTTCTATTGCATAATTACTCCTGTGATGACTGAGTTGACTTTATTATAGAATTTGAAACTTGGCAAAAATCCTCTATATTGAGGAGTCAAAAAATAAAATCTAAGTTTGGGATCCATTTTTGCTATAACTGAAACTGTTTCTAAACAGCTGTGAAAAGCCTAGGTTACCTTAGGTTGATGCTTAATATTTTGAGCACATGGAAGATTTTTGCTGTGAAGTCGCTGTGTTCTTCCACTTTACCTTTATTTCTGAAAGCAAGCCAGTCTTAGCTCTTTTCTACTCAAGTCCTCCCTTCATGGATCATCCATATAAAAAACAGAGTCAGTGGCTGAACCCTCAATTTGACAATGAATTTAAAATTAGACAGGACAAATTTGATTATTCTTAAAATAAGGATTTTCTCTCTCCTGACAACATTTAAGGTTTGTCATTATTGTTGTTTTCTTGTTTAGCAATAGGAATAATTGATGACAATAATCCACGGGTATCCCTTTGAATGTTCACAGACATTACCACATCTGTTTTGGTATCTGTTTGTGGTGGGTTGGCTCTGGCTGGATGCCCACCAAAGCTGCTCTACCAAAGCTTTCATCAGCTGGACAGGGGAAAGAAAATGTAACAACAGGCTCAAGGGTCAGGATAAGGACAGGGAGAGACCACTCATCAATTGCTGTCATGGGCAAAATGACGCAACGTGAGGAAAAAAATTGAATTATTATCAATCAAATCAGAGTAGGAGAATGAGAATTAAAACCAAATCTTAAAACAACTTGTACCTCATCCTTCCCTTTTTCTCATTTTCACAGAGCTGTGGTCAGTCTATCACATGCTGTCTCTGTTGCTTTTTCCTCCCCAGGGAAACGACCCCTCACAGTCTTCTGTTCTCATGAGGAGTGACTCCCACAGGAGAAAGTCCTCCACAAAAAAATCCTGCCAGCAAACCTCCTCCAGTGTGGGACCCTGTCTCTCCATGGGTCACCATGTTCTGCCAGGAGTCTGCTCCAGCATGGACTTTCCATGGAGTCACAGCCTCCCTTACTCCAGTGTGAGGTCCCATGGGCTGCAGGTGGATCTCTGCTCCTCCATGGACATCCATGGAATGCAGGTGGATCTCTGCCCCTCCATTGACATCCATGGGCTCTATGAGGAGCATAGGTGCCTCACCATGGTCCTTGCCACAGCCTGCAGGGGAATCTCTCCACATCCTCCCCCTCCTTCTCCATTGGCCTGGTGTCTGCAGAGCTCTTTCAGTCACACATTGTGTCTCCAGCTGCAGCTTCCTGTAGGACAGTGAGTTTTCTCCCTCTTTAAGTGTGTTAGCCCAGAGGGGCCACCACTGCTGCTGATGGGCTCAGCCATGGCCAGCTGGCATTGGTTCTGCTCTGGCTCTGCCAGGCACAGGGGAAGCTTCTGGTGGCTTCTCACAAAATATATGTGCCTTGCCACCAAATGTATTTTCATATCTTTAAATTCCATCACGCAGTGACATCCACAGCACTTTATTAGCCCACTGCATATTATTTCATTTTCTACTATCAAAGCAATAAACATTTCTCAGACAAGAAAGGGACAGTGCCATTCACAGCAATTTTACCAAGACCACTCATTCAGATTAAATGACAGGGTACAACTGATGAGTGATTTAAATTAATAACACTCCCAGAGGCCAGAAGAAGCTACTGCCCCAAGAATTTGTCTTCCTAGGATGAAATACATTCCATTACTACCCATAATTTTAATAAGAGTTGTTTACTAGACTGCTAGAAACACTGGATTAGTGTTAGGAATGTTTTAATACCAATGCTCATAGAAACTATTTTTATCCCTCTGGAATGGTAAAATGCCTAACAAAGGCTCAGATGCTATTTGCAATTTGCAGACTGTGAGAGAATGAATGTTGCAAGGTGTTTTGTTGGTGAACTTCAGTGAGCATCATTAAGATGGAGCAGTGGGTAAAGATCCAAACAAAAAAAGGCTGTTGCTCTAAGACAACTTTTTTTTTTTTTCCTTCCAATACAAGAGAAAAGCCACCAACATGTGGGAAGGGAAAAAATAATATGAAAGGCTTTACCTTCATGGTACACAAGAGTCTTTGCTAATTCTTAGATCTTTCTTCTGTGCTTCCTAATAATGTGAGCTGTCAATGTTTGCTCTAACACTTAGATCAGCTCTGCAAATATGTGGTGAATTAGCAAGAAGAATTCAAGGACATTTATCACAATAAATATCATATATATCCCTCAAACCCCTGAATTTGTTTCAGTCCCATGACATTTGGAAATATAATTACTCAATGAAAAAAGGTCAAAATTATGCCTCGGTCCATTCTAAAGAAAATCAAACTAAAGTTTAAGGTATTCTTTTGGTGATTTGGGCTTTTTCCTCCCTCATTTGACCAAATCCTTGGGCAAAGAGTTTATTTACTAAGCTGAAAAGCAGCAGAGAGTTTGCAAGCAGGAAACTCTGTTAATATTTAACTTGGACTAGAATTCCCCATGTGTTGGTGGAATCAATGCACAATGACTACAGGAGTTGGTACTGACAATATTCCTTGAAAAATATCTCTGAAAAGTCTTATAGTGACTATGTGGCATAACACAATTTAAATATCTGCTTTTCCAAGTTTAAGCTGGCATCTGAAAAAAAATGAAGCATTTCTGATAAATTATTTTAACATGCTTTTTATTACTCACAAACATTTATGAGGTTAATTTTCCTTTGACAAGGCTGAATTTTGCTTTCCTTCTTGACTACTTATTGCACAGTAATGCTGCTGTTCTAACAGTGCAAAATCTGTAAAGTAAAATATCAAAATCAATGTCACTTTTTAATGAGGGAAACTAAAGTAGAAGGAAAAACAAAATTTTGGAATATTTTTTGAAGACTCTACCAGGTATGTCTCAAATTCCGCAAAGGTAGTGGTACTAGCATGTTTTTGCAAAATGCATTTCCTAAAAACCTTCTCAGTCCTTTAGTCAGTAACAAAATGAAAATGTGGGAGATAAACATTACATGAAACTCAGCAAGATGACCAGATCTCTGTTCTGTCATCAGTCACCATGACCAACTCCCAAGTCATGATACAAAGCTAGATTTCTTCCTGCTTTTTCATGAAAGTAAAATATGTTCCTCCTTTAATAAAATCAAGAAAACCTTTATATTCATAGCAAGAAAAAGAACTCTGTCCTACATCACCATGCTTCAACGTGCCTATCCATAAATAAACAGCTAGAGAACTAAAGAATTCAATTAAGTTTTCATTTCTCTCAGTCAACGGCAGATCACAGAGGAAGCACCAATGACAGCAAAGACAGATGATGAAAACCTGATCAATTGCTATCACTTCAATTTAGATAAAAAGTCACTCACTTTTCAGCTCTGCTTGGTGCCCAGAAGAGATTAGATTAAAACTAAATCAAGAGAAAAATAAAAAATCTAAACAACAGCCAAAGAACACCTTTTCCAGCTCTTGTAAATGTCCTCAGTTAATCCTACTATGTAAAGTCAGGCTACTAGCAACGACTAAAAGCAAATTCCAGAAAGTTATTCCTTTGAAAGTTATCAGTTCTGTTGAGCCTTCAGAGAAAAGGAACATGGAAAGTTAAACTACCAGTTTGCTTAAGTTGTCTCCTTCTATACTGGATTTTAGACTATGTTAGAAAACTTTCTAGGACGTGATTGGGGCAAACATTACAAATTCGTGTGTCTGCATCCCCCACTATCATGTACCATCGTGTTATGTGTGATTCCCAGAAGTTCTGGTGTTATTCAATTGTTATAAAGTCACTGCAGAAATTTTTTAAGATCTATCATACCCTGATTCATTTCAGTTTTGGGAAAATAGAGATAAAGCACTGAGATGCAGGATCAACAACTGACACTTTAATTTGCATTGGATAACAGTTTTGCAAGTGGTTTCATAAAGCAAAATATACAGAACATGAATTTAGCTCATTGTTACAAACAGAACACAAGTAAAGGGTGAAGACATTTATTTCAGCACCACAAGGCTGTCATCACATATAAGAATTTATAAAACAACAGAAGGAAAAAATCTTGACTTTATTTAAAAAGAAAACACATGCTTTATTTAAAAGCTGAGGAATTAAATTTGGTTCATCCGACCAAATTCTGTGTACAGGAACCATTCAAATATGAATAGCATATCTCAGCAGGCAGAATTAGCACCAAAGGAAACATTTTAACGAGAACAATATTAATCCTAGATTTTATCTTCCTTCTGTCAACATTTGTCACCAGAACAAATTATACAGTCACTTAACACATTGTCTGGTGATGCCCATCCCTGTGGCTGAGCACACACCGAGGCCTTGAGCTGTCTGGAACCAAGAGTGCTGCCAGCATGTGACCTTGCATCCCACAGGGAGAGCCCCACAGACATGGATCCATCTTGACTCATCACTGGAATCCCACAGCTGGGCTTACCCACCCCACCTTGGGGTTTACTGTGCCCCCCCACACATGGACAGAGCTGCCCTAGGGGTGCAGCAAGGAGGAGCTGCAGGTCCTTGGGGCAGGTTATGCATTGGCATCCAAAGCTGAGGGGCCCTAGGAGAGCACAGAGTGCACAGGGTGGATCACAGATTGTGTCAACTATTCTGCCAGGCTGTACCAGGGCTTCTATTGCCACCTCCATGTGATATGAATAATTCTTTGTTTAAATTCACTTATCTTGCTGTTGATAATCAGCATCATACAAGAGAAATAGAATTTTGCAGTAACAAAACAGGGCCACAATTTTTAAAGTATCATAAAATATTGCTCTTAGGAAGAATGTTTCATTACTTGGCCAAATTACATCATAAGGCCCCATGTTGGCTCAACAATGAAGACACTGATGGAACACTGAATCAGAAAAATTGGAACGCTTTTCTGCCTCTGCTGCTGGCATAAAACTGGTTTTCCTTCAAGCTTTCTATTATTTAATTTTTGCAGGGCCACCATCTTGGTCAGCTAGGGGTTTTTTGAGAGTAGCTAAAGAGAGGCAGAGAGCAGCAAGATCCAAGCACAACACAACAAGTGAAAGTGCTGGCTGTGCGCTTGGACATGTACAGGGAAGAAAAATGGGATAGAAAATCCACTCCAGATAAAGCAACAAAACAGTGACATCCTAAAGATCCACCAGACAGAAAGAGGTTACAAGGTTGAATGACAGATTCCTCCACATCTCATGGAAGCCATATTTTCCAAACAATTCAGAAGTCCTTCCCTGAATATTGAGTCAGCCCATTCAGAATCCCTCTTCCCCACTCTATGCTGGCTGAGCCAGCTCTCATCAACCATTTGTCTTTCCACATAAATCACCAGCTAATACTAACTTTGTTAATAACTCTTCTCCTATGTGGACAATAAAGTCCAAATCTTAGTTCAGGACTGAGAAATTTCCTGCAAAAAGTAAAAGGTTTGACTGCACAATATCCAAGGCCTACATCCCTCTCCACAGGATCATTTCTACATGCAAATTACCTTGGCATGATGACCAGTGGTGGTCACAAAAGCAAATAGTAGAGGAGGTCCAAAAATTTTTTGCAGGATATCCCTGGGAAGACCTGATAGATGCACGGTTTTGTGTGTTTTTAGTAGGTATTATCTTTATACTCACAAAATTTGACTTAGGATAGCCAACAACTCAACACCTGACATGATGCACAGCAGAAGTTGTCAGACTGACGTGCAATGCACTGCTGAAAAGAGATTGAAGTCAACCAGCCACATGTTTGCACAAGTCTTAAATTTCACAACGGTGCAGACACTTGCAAAAGCACTGTTTGGCTGTGAGGGTTTTGTTGATGGTGGTTCCCATATTTTTGTACTCATTATTAGTCAACTATTACAAGAACATGGAATGGCTACAATGAGTAGCATTTCTCCAACAAGGCAGGAAAAGGTGAAGTGGAGATCCAATGGTTAAATTTCCACTGACATATAATGCCAGAAAACACTACTTTAGGAAGCTGAAGATTGCCTAATATTTTTTTTATAACTTTTAGGAAGCCATTGCTATTAAACAACATTTCTCACTGAAAAATGCAGGACTGGTTTTTGCCACAGTTTGATACATTAATTCCAATAATTGCTGGCATTATGTTTCGAGATTTAACTGTACTGCACAGTGTCATGGCTACTAGAGAAAAGCAAGGAAGAAACAAAAATATAAAAATCAAAACACACGTCAATATAAATGCTCATTTGCAAGTGAAATAATGCATTGTGATTTTGGCAAACACACTGACCCTATCCTCAAAGAAAAAGGGACACCTTCAGTTATATTTTCATTGTTTCCATTCCAGAGGAAGACTGTAGAATAACTACTCTAGCAAAAAATAGAAGCAGCAATACTTCCCCTAAACAAAATTTATTATTTTACCCAAGCCTATAGATGCAGCACCCCATCTTTAAACTAAATTTTCGCCCTTTCCTCTTCTATCCCCTCCACAGACACATGGGAGGGATGAAATCTATCTGCAGACTTCCCCATAACCAACGGTTTCCATATTTATGGAGACCCAGAAGCTAATGTAAGCTTATTGCTGAGATGGCAGTTGTGCCTAAGCAGAGGAAACACAGGAGGGGAAAAGAAAAGAAAAAGGATTAAATAAAACATCCGAAGTAGAAAGCGTAGCTTAATTGTAGCTCTTTAGATCTTCTGGAAAGGGCAAATGAAGACAGAATGCAGGCAAAGTAAGCCTTGCTTAAACTTAGGCCAGTCTGAGGATATGTTTTAGCAGACCTGTGACACCTTCACTTTGTACAGCGGTGAAGCAGAGGGTGCACGCGTCACAGTGTGACTTTGCATTATGAGGAACATCTACCACATAAAACCAGTACTGCTTCTTTGTGTGATTATGTGTGGAATTCTGGGGTTTGTTCATCTTCGCTGTGAATTTACTGCTATATTCTTTTTCAAAGACATTTCTTCTCCTAGACGCCCAGAGTAGCATTTGATTGATTAGCGTGGGTTTTCTGGCTTACCCACTAAGTTGATTTGAACGATCCATTTGTTAATATAGCGAAACACACGTTCACGATTATAAATTGTTTAACAAGTCTCAACAAACAAGTCCCTTGGTGGTCCCGAAGTTTTTTAAAAGCAGATTGATGAGGTACAATTTTATAGATTCTCTTTCCTATTTGTGAAAAGCTGCTAAG